CAGTCCGGATAATTAGATAATGATGTAACTAAGTTTAGGACGTCCATCTTGTTTTTTTGGAAGCGTTTAAGGCGTGACTAAGGTGATTTAGCGAAATTAATCTTTAAAAGTTTATGCTGGAAAGATTTTGGCAGTTTTATTAATAATTTATTTGATAACCCAAAGGTTCTTATCTTTTACAAAGACAAAAGTACAGCTCTCATAATTTTATATCATTACGGAAGCAGAAGGGCTTTAGTTAATATATCTATCGTTCTCACGACCCAAACTTTTAGAGATTTAACGGCTTCTCAAGGTATAGAGATTTTCTTTTTTACTTTCCTTTTCAATCATAATTCATCCAATTGTTGCTGTACAAAATTTTACTTTGCAACAAGAATTTAAGTGTAGAACTTGTGATTCAAGTTACAAAACAAGAAGAGGTTTATCTTATCATCAAAGTAGAGTTCAAAAATATCAAATTTGCCAAGAAAGATTATACATTACCTTTAGAAACAATTGATCAATTCAAGTTCGATCTTATTTATATTATAGGAAGTAGACTTATAGAACATTTTAAACATCCAAGAAAACAGACATTTTTATTTTCATATTTAGAAAGCTTATTTTTCAAAGGTTTTGAAGGTCATATTCATTATTTCAATCATAGAAATGAAAATTACGACGAATTTTTTCAAGGTCCCAACGCATATGCATAACTTTCTGATACTTTTGAAAACCAGAATTGGAAACGCGAGTTGTTTGATAAAGATCAACAAACATTTATTTGGTTCTTTGGTTCACGGGCTGAAAAAAAAAATCAGAACTACCCAAAAATAAAGGCAAAAAAGATGCAAAAAATAATAATATTTCAGCTGGATATATTTATATAATATTTCTCGCGAACATGTTCTTTGGTACGTGTTTTAACACTTTTACTGAAACATTCCACTTGCGATTTCTAAGCCAAATCTTCAATATTCCAGAATGTTAATCGATTCAAAGCCACAATCCTGTGATCACGAGATTTTGCTACTAAATCTCACTTTTCGTTCATACAATATATTATATAGAAAGTAATATTTTAATAGTAACTTTTTTTTCGAATAAAAATTTTGATCCATGTGTCAAATGGTATGTACTCATTTTCTCGAAAGCTATTTCACCTATATCTATTTAACAGACACATATAGGCTAGAGTTAGCATTTTATTAGTTGCAAATATATTGTCACTTGTGTAATGTAGGTTAAATGGTGTTTTCACGTCAAATATATAAAATAACAGAAGCAATATTCTTAGTAAAGGAATTATTGAGTAGATATTTCTCAAATAAAGTCTATACATATTGAATAGTTCAACATGTAAATGAAAAATACTATTTTAATAGAAATCTAGGTTTCTATTACGGTCAATATGAAACCTATATG